TCGGATATCTCCCTCATTTGTTTATCTTTATAGGTAAGTCGAAAATAATGGTTGCGAAGGATAAAGAAAATCATACAGGAACAGAATTGTTTTTTTAATTTAAAGAGATCCAGCGGCATGGGTTGAGGAAGATTTCACACATACATCATCTAAATGGGCTGCCATGAATCATGTTTGTGATTCACTGGCATAAAGAAAGAAATTTGGTTAGTTCCAGTTTCTTTATATATGCATGTATTTGTTTTAAACTCTTCGCGGGTTCTCGCATGCTATAACCGAAGGAGTTGCAAAAGTCTCCCAGGTTTTAAAAACAATGGTTACGTACGTATTGGATTCTAGTTTTTACGAGCCTACTTTTGTTCTTTCGCTAGATTTCTATTTGGCGATTAATATAATACTTTTCTTGAAGAGGGTAAGGTCGAGTTTAGGATCTGTTCCCATGCAGTCTAGGCAATTAGCAAATTCCCGCCAGCCAGCTGCCAGCTAGCTCCAGCTAGCCGCCAGCCGGCCAGCCGGTGCAAGCAAGTCTCTTGATATTTCATTGATTTTTTAAAATATGTCACTTAAACTTGAGTATGTAGTCTATCGTACGTCTCTTGCTTGTATGATTATGTTCACTGAGTTATTATATACACATACAGATGAACCCCGCCATGCGGCTAGCCTCGTTTATTAGTTCGGCCACTTTGGCTGGCCCGAACAAGAGCTCAGTCTGATATTTTCTTATTTAAAGAGCCCCGTTAATACGGCCAGATTTTTTTGTGGCTCGTTGGTGACCGGATTAACGGGGTTCCACTCAGATAACTTTCACCCAACCGATAGATTGAAGTAAATAAATTGCTTGATGCATGAATGGCCATGTGTTATTTCATCGTTATATTAAAATACCTGACCCAAACGAGACTACAACTAGTGGCCGGCACGATTCTGTTCCAATTTAAGGCCCATCAATGTTAAACGTGCGTAAAACGTGAGTAGAAGGTAATTTATGTTTATATTAACCTCTTACTAATCTATTACGAGAGCCGCACTGGGGAATTTTGGCCCGAGGTTGTGGCAATAAAGGACCGAGCGCTGCGAGGTCTGTACAAAAACAACCGAGGGCCAATATTTCGGAGTACGGCTCGAGCAAGCTAGGTTAATAGGTACTTTATTATATGGCACAGTTTTAGCGAAATTTGCCAGCTTTCGGTCCGTATAGCAAAATCCCGACCAAGATAGAACCTCTCAGAACACTCCAGACACCCAATATATTCGAAAACAGAACTGAGTGTCATACGCTATAATCTAAGAATATTCACAAAAATATTTTCAGCCTAAAATCGACCGAAAAATAAGAATATTTAGCCTCGGCCGGAAAAAAATTATTCTTATAAAAAAAAAGGGTGCCTTAACAGGAAGCTATATTTCGCCCGAGAAACCACCATGGAAAGCTGGAGGACAGATGCGCTGGTAGAATAAGTTTCGTTTTGTAATGAGAATTCTTCAAATGAATTGTTGTCCTTTCTAAAACTCAACGAGTGAGCCAGGCTTTTACTCCAAATAGCAACCCAGTAGAATAGACGTTTCTTCCAGAGTAAGCCGTGTTGCTGAATGAAATACGTTCAACAGGATTGGTCGTAAAGAGACTCTATAATTATTTATTTAAACAGTATGCGTGAAAGATAGAAATAGCAAGCCGGCACTGGTCTATGTTCCTTTAGGTAACTCAGATTTTCAACTCAGCCGTCCCTGACAAATGTACGAGACTGCAATTGTCAGTGTTACGTGGTCAGTTACGTTGCTACGTAACAGAAGATATTTAGCCTACTCGATTTTATAAACACACAAAATGCTAAATGTTGGGCATGCGAGCTCCATCTTCGACGAGAATTTATCTATAAAAAGATAGATATAAAACGTTTTTTGTGACACTCATTTTGAGCGCGCGTTTGGAGGGACTTCAGCATTTGCAAGCGTAATTTCTGAATTGGTAATTTATTGATGTGATAATATGATACAATACATATTTTATAGGGTAGAGCATCTGATAACGAATAACTAAAGATTTGATAATTTTTCTAGTAATTGTTTTGGGGTAGATCAATCACGGAACTCGGCAAGTTTCTCGATAGATACAATTTCTTATCACTGTATGGTTACCTGGGTAACATTTTAGTTTTTTATTTTTGTTTGCCTTCCTTCCTTCCTTCCATCCTTCCTTCCTTCCTTTCTTCCTTTTTTCCTTCCTTTCCTTCCTTAAATTTTTTCGTTCTTTGTTATCTTCCGTTCTTCGTTCTAAAGGTCCAATTCCTTATTTGCTTTTTTTTTTACCATCAGTCGAAGGGTTCCAGTTTAACTTTTGGCACACAGTTATATTTTATCATCATTCCTCAAAGCAGGTTTTAGTTCTAACTAGACGTGTTTGAAGAAAGATCGAGCTTGACTAGGGTACACTCAGCGCCGATGCAGACCATACGAATAGCCCATAGATGTACCCAGCCAAGTAGATGATTTAGCTTTGTAAAATCAGGTGTTACCTTTTTGACTTCTGCTAGGATATCAGATAAGAGCAAAGAGGATCCCAAAAGCCTAGACGGTGTTTTGAAATCGTAGTCAATAGAGTGCTCGTCCGTATAAATAGCATTACAAAACTGAAAGCACGAGAAATTGAGTAACTTGTTTCGGCTAGCTACATTTCTTACCTTATCGTGAGCTCTGCCCCTGATCGTCCCAAATAAAAATAACTTGAATCTTCTTCCTGACCGGAAATTTGAACATCGGAGGTCTAAAGAAGACCGTGCCTGTATTGGGTAACTCGACGGCCATCCTTTTTTAATTACGCAGCACTGATCAATCTTTCTCTATATGGGAGGCGGGAAGTTGTGAATTGGTCTCGTTATAGAGGACTGTCTTCAAATTAAACCCATTGGATATTTAATTTCTGGCTTTCCACTTATCCACTGGCTCTAGCAGATAAATAAAAACACCTTTTGCCATTTTTTAATAGCTTATTCAAAATAGACTTTTTCAATAATCAAATAAGCTTTTCTAAACAAATTTTAAGTCTTCTTGCCAACAATGAAACTTTCTTATATTGCTATTTAACTGGAAAATGATAAATTATTAAATGCATTCATTCGTCAGTGACACATCAAGGAAGAAAACAAATCAGTTTTTCGTTCTGTTTCTGTTTAACGCCTTTTGAGGTGAAATATTTGCGAAACTGATGCATAGAGGTAAGGTTTTAATTAAATTTTAAAAATCATGCTGAGAATTTTGGAATCAATCTGTTACGTTATTATACGCTATTTATTGTCTAGTAAGAGCAAAACTATTGTTTGGCAGGAAATAACCGGCTGGGTGAATAAACAGATCATTTACAACTTACACGAAAAAGATGAGAAATTCAGAAATTCTGACTAGGAATTCGAATATCATGCAGAGAGAAGAACGAGCAAAGTGACCTGCTGGTGTTAGTGCATATTGACCCGAGGTCTTGAGAAGTGGACATGGGTGACACACGCAATTGATAATTTAATATTAGCTATAGTCGTCTCCTTTCAAATCCAACGAGGTTGTTTGCCGAGAAAAAAATGAATTTTGTCGTAGATTAGAATTTGACGGGAAAAAGAAAAATCCAATACAGTGTTATTGAAGAAATTGCAAGATAGAAATTTAGGAAATAATAAGCGTCTTGATTACTTCATTACGTTCTCTTCCGATCGAAAATTATCATTATTAAACTTAAAAAGATCCTACACTAGAAATGCGTCGTAAAATTAAAACTGAGAACAAACAATTCTGTCAATCGAGGGAACAGGAGATGGGACAGACATTTCAAGCTTATTTTTAGCAATTTTATGGGTTTTTGCTAGGTAAAAAAATTGAGGTCTGGGACGAGCAGAACGGTATCAAATCAAAGCACTGAGGACTAGCATTCAGGACTGAGATTTCTGGGATAGCTTGTGTCTCTCGTGTGAGGAATCCCTTGTGATTGGTCGATGGTTGTCATGGGACGTCGTCAAGGAATAACTCGAGTTACCCAAACCCATTTTTACATCAAAAGTTTTCTTATAGTGACATCGTCGAAAACCCCAGCTCGTCCATGAAACGAGGAGTGCATTTTAAGGTATTTTAAAGCAGTATAATTTCTCCGTTCAACGCATAATCATAAGAAATGAGAGCGTAAACGAAGTGAACAGATTGCATGTGGGATTTAAATAATTACATTACTATTTTTTTATCTTCTCCTGTATATAGGTTTCTTGATTCTGAAGGGGAGGTTGCGAGAGACATCATAACTTTGGGAACTCAAAAAAAGGTCTTGCATGACACAATTGAAACTACTCAACGGGACAGAATCAGATAATAATTTATGCCATTCAATCAGTTTTTTTACCACGTCATATTTTCACTGAAAATTGTACTCAAACAGACGTTGTTTAACGGGGCTCGTTAAACACGTCCACGCGGGTTTTAATGTATTTTTATCAAAATACCTGTCAATCCTATATAAACTGGAAATAGAAAATGATTCTAACGAGAAATTCCGTTTTCTTGAGGTATAGCCTGTGACACGCGTTTACTCTCGGACTTGCGCCGTTAATTAGTCAGGCATCACCAACAAAATTAATCGATAATCATGAGCCGGCCTCAAAATCAAGACATAAGATTGACAGCAGTGACACGAATTTAGGTTAACGAACAAAATTAATACCACTTTTTATAGAACACAAGAGCAATTCATAAATTGTCTTAGCCATTAAGCGCTCGTATTAAAATCCACAATACAAGTTTCAAATTTACACCTGCGAGCTATGGTAAACGACACATGCATATTACAAGACGTTTTGACTAAAATACAATGTTATCAAGATACTCAGCTACGTTATAACTGCATAAAAATATAAAATAACGCTGTCCACATTTAAATTTAATTGCTGGGAAATGCGTACTCTAAGCAGGGATTGTTTTCTTACGACCGTATCGTATCATTAGTAAGACACATTAAATGAAAAATTAAGCGATTGATCACGAATTGGGATCAAAAATGACAAAGCAGACTTAAAAGTAATTTCCTTGCAATAAACTACAAATCCCAACGCAATTCGAAACGCCATTAACTTCCTCCGCACTTAGAAAGCTCTCCCTCATTAGATTATATAGTTAAGGCTGTATGCTTGAAAGAGAAAGTACAACAGGAATTTTGTTCGGCAGATTCGATCATTTGAGGTATTAAAACGCCAACTGACACAACAAGTCAACCACGAAGAACCAAGGTAGGTTGAAAGAATTGATTAAAGCCATGATGTGAGCTGATTGTGTGTTGTGGGAATTTTTCCAGAAGTGCAAATGTTGCTTTGCCAACGTTCACTTGTCTAGTAGAGAAAGAAAGGTGTCTGCATATATGAAGTGAGATTATTTAAGTTATTAAACAGTCAAGTATTAAATTTTGCAGACCTCGCTAATCTCAGCGGGTAAAACATTTCTCTTGGCTATATGAGTAACCTAACTAAGGCCTGACCAAGGCCATCTTATAAGGACTATAAGTTGTGACGACGGGAAGGCCCGTAGCTAGTAACTGAGGCAAACCGAGGCACTTGCCTCAATCATTTCTATTCGTTTTTTTGCTGTGTATTCATCCAAGAACACACTAAACACCTACCAAGAGAATTTAACCATGGGCATTGCCTCAGTCGTAATTTTTTTATGGACATTGCCTCAGTCATTATTTTTTTCTGGCCATTGCCTTGTCAGGGGCATTTCCCGAGAGTTATTGACTAGTTCTGTCAAAGTATCATGACTTCCTCTTTTTTTTAGTTCTTGCTTGATTTTCGCGTACTTCCCGAACTTATTGCTTTTAGATCGTACATTTTTGTTCTCTCACAAAGCACGTGTTAGGATTGCGGGGAAACAAAAAGATATAATCAAATAGCGGCGTTGGTCCCAATAAACACGAGGCGTGATTTATGACTGGGAACCTTCAGTTCCTGCTTCCTGACGCAAACAAGTCAATCAAAGCGAGAGACAAATACTATGTTATGACTCTTACTAATTGTGCGATTAATCTGCGCTTCACACTTGCAATCAAAGTAATCACATAATCCCCCGTTTACTCTTTCAGTAAGTATTTTTTCCCTTTGTGATTGTTCATTTCCAAAGTACGAAAGCAATCGTCCAGCAGAGAAACCTACATTACAAGCTCGTAGATCGGTTGGTATAGGGAATTTGATCATGAATTATATTACGAATTATCATTTGTTTATGTCTCATCTAAAACGGCTTATTTGTAATTTTACTGCCAACGTCCCACGACATTTGCCATGACCCACAATCCTCACCCACGCTCTCACGTCTTTTGACGACATTATCATATTAAGGAGTTTAAGCAAACCACGACGACGGCAACGAGAACGTCACAAAACAAAAGGTTTAATGAGCAAAACAATAACTTCACGTGCCGGCGTTAAAAATCTTTGTACATTTCTTAGCCGTCCTCCGCAAGACAACAACATGAAATGACCAAGTTCTACGTAGTTTGGGGAACGGGAACGTCGACAGCTAATTTTTCGTATTTCCGTGTGGAACTGAACGTTGTCATTACATATTTAGCCTGAGCAAGTTCTTAGAGCCATTGGCGTGCTGAACAGATCTAGACAATGAGAATTCGAAGGTAAAATATAAATTCATTTCTTACTAGGCGTCGTCCTCGGTGACGCCGTCGTCGTCGTTACTTAAGCTTCCTATTTTTATGCCAGGTATAAATGAATTAATGCAGCTTGTGACGTAATCACCTGGCGCGGTTTGCACGCTCTATCGAAAGAGCAAGAAAAAGATCTCTTTCGCCGAAAGAGCAAGGTTACCAAATTATTTCAAGTCATATCTAACTTCTACCTCAGGGGCCTGCCTCCAGATAAGATTAAATATCAGAGAAAAGGGTGGACGAGACTTGCTGCAATGAAAATGAAGGTAAGCGGGAGAGATAAAAAAAATCGTTTTTTGGTCGACAACCTAAAAACTTTAAACTTTTTAAACTTACTTTTCTGCCTTGTGGTCTGAATGGGGATTTGCTGTTAGTTCAGATTTAAATCATTCAAGCTGGTTTATTTTCGTTCACGGAGTTACAAAAGTCTCTGAGTACTATGTTCGAGCAAAATCACGTAACCAATATTTTCTTCCAATTTAGATTATTTCAGTGGTCAGCGTTCTCCTCTTGGCAGCATGCGCAGTATCGGGTAACCCGCTCAGCCAACCCAAGGTTTGTATAAGAGCTAAAAGTTATTCAGTTCTTAAATTAGCTAATATCAGCATTGCCAAAAATACAAAAGAGATTGAAGAGATGAAGGAAAAACTGAGAATTAAAACAAGACGAAGGACTTTTCTGAAATTTTATGGGGTCGTTTAACACGCCCTTATTTGTAGAACCAAGGTGTTTAACCCAGTTTTCGTTCTTCGTTACAAATGTGAGAACTCACCCTTAATTTACGCCAATTCTTCTAATAAATATAAGCTTCTCAGACGCAAAGATTTAACCTGATAATAGTCGCTGCCTCCCAGAACAATTTGATGTTGAAATGGGGATTAATTTTGCAGCTAGAAGTATTTCACTCATTTGTCCAATTTCGTTTTCGTTCTTTATTCAATCCAGGAATCAAGGGTCTCAGATGACTTTGTTCACCAGAAAAGGGCAGGTGAGTATCGCTTTGTAACTTTGGATTGTCCTTTTTACACCAGCTTGGCCTCTGAAACCTTGTTGGGCACAACGCTACAACTACGTATTCTCGGTGAAACATACTCATCGAGCGGCGATACTAAGAAACTTAATTTTTTTTTGTATGTGTTCAGTCTGTAAATTACGATGTCAACTGTGTTTGTTTTGGAGAAGTGCAACGTTTTGTAATTAATACTAATCCCTTTTCGGTAGCCACTGTTTGATTCTTAAAATAATATATCACTAAATATGTATACTTAATTCC